AAGAACCAGAGACCAATGGTTTGCCAAACTGTCACTGTGGTTCCACAACTGGCAGCAGACAACAGTCACAGTATCTGCTCTGAAACCATAGGGCTGCCTTAAAAGCTAAAATAAGCAACATGAGGAAAAAAGCGTATGTCCGTGTCCAACAGCTTTTAGTTTCTGTTTTATCTGAAAGACAGCCCCCTCTTCAGATACAATGGCCAGAGCTTAGTGTTGGCAGATTGCTATGGGTTAACCCCATCAGGCAGCTAACCCCTACACAGCCCCTTGCTCACTCCCACCCAGAGGGATGTGGGAGAAAATCAGAAGGGTTAAAGTGAGAAAACTCATGGGTTGAGATAAAGACATTTAATAGGTAAAGCAAAAGCCTCACTCACAAGCAAAACAAAACAACGAATTAATTTACCACTTGCTGTGGTCAGGTAGGTGTTCAGCTATCTCAGGAAAGCAGAGCTCCATCACACACAACAGTTACTTGAGAAGACAAACAGTGTGATTCCAAATGTTCCCTCCTCCTTCTTCCCCCAGCTTTCAGTCCTGAACATGAAGACATATGACATGGAATATCCCTTTGGTCAGCGGGGGTCATCTATCCCAGCTGTGCTCACTCCCAGCTTCTTGCTTGTGCATACCCAGCCTGCTCACAGTTGGAAAAATGTGAGAAACAGCATGGGCCTTGGAGCTGTGGAAGCACTGCTTGGCAGTAACTAAACCAATTATCAACACCTTTGCTCACAAATACAAAACATAGCAACATACAAGCTGCGACAAAGAAAATCAACTTCATCCCAGGCAAAGTCAGTATACCCAAAGGGTTCCAGAATCAGGGCCAGAAGAGGGGGTATCCGCACCTTCCAGTCAGACAAGGATGGCTTGCAGGTGAGTTGGGATCAATTGCAAAGCACAGGAAGGGCTGAAAATCAGTTTAACTGATGTGCCCATATTCAAAACATGAGAACTAAGTAATCTGATACGTTTTGGTGCTTGTGCTCATGATGGAGGCTATCCTCCTCTGCCGGTCAACTGAGGGTAAATTCTGTAAGCAAACACTCCAGATTTTGGCTCACTGCTATTTATAGGAAATAGCAATGTCCATGCATACAGCTCAGCTCTTTCTGATAGCATCTGAATTTACCTCTGTTCCTCTGCATTTTCCTCTTCATTAATTTTGATGATGCCAGGAAGAACTACCATGCCGCCACCTTTTGGGCTGATCATTTTACTCATGCATTTCATTTTCTATTGAGATTTCTACTTGGATATGCTTGTAATTTTATTCCTGTATTCAGAGTTGTTTGCTATCAAATTTGAAGATAAGCTGTGTCTAGATGATCATTCCATTGCAGGGCAATTATTCAACAACCTGATAACAAATTAGCATTTATCCATATTAGATTTTACTGCATTTTCCTGGAATAAGCACAAATTTTTGATTACTGCCTGCCCTGTGGTGTATTACTTTAGATGTAGCTATGATGACTTTATAAATGGAACAGCTGTTTGCTAAGCAGGGTTCTGATATCTGTGGACCTTTCTAGCAAGGCACAAGTCAAAACAGAATAAACCACATGAAGTCATTTTGTGTTGTTTTGAAAGTATATCTACTATCTATTATCCTCTTTTCCCTTATTTTAAGAGGAAAGTGAAAGTCTGAATTTATATATATATAGTTTATTAAGTAGTCTTTGATCTTAATTTTACTTCTAGAAGGTGAGCACTTATGCTTAATGCATGAAACAAGTTTTCATCTTAGTAAGTGATACTCTGCCTGTGCAATTTCTTCTCCTCCATGAATGACTATCTGATTGACAACAAACATTTTGAACTATGCCCCTACATTACGGATCAGCGTAAATCACAGGATCATAGAACAGTTAGGGTTGGAAAGGACCTTAAGATCATCTAGTTCCAACCCTCCTGCCATGGGCAGGGACACCTCACACTAAACCATGCCACCCAAGGCTCTGTCCAACCTGGCTTTGAACACCCCCAGGTATAGAGTATTCAAAACTTCCCTGGAAAACTCATTCTGGTGCCTCACCACCCTCACAGTAAAGAATTTCCTCCTTATATCCAATCTAAACTTCCCCTGTTCAAGTTTTAACCTGTTACCCCTTGTCCTAGCACTACAGTCCCTAATGAAGAGTCCATCCCCAGCATCCCTATAGGCCCCCTTTCACATACTGGAAGGCTGCTATGAGGTCTCCACGCAGCCTTCTCTTCTCTTCTCCAGGCTGAACAGCCCAAACTTTCTCAGCCTGTCTTCATATGGGAGGTGCTCCAGTCCCCTTATCATCCTCGTGGCCCTCCTCTGCACTTGCTCCAACACCTTCATGTCCTTTTTATGTTGAGGACACCAGAGCTGCACACGATACTCCAGGTGAGGTCTCAGGAGAGCAGAGTAGAGGGCCAGGTCACGCTCCTTTTGATGCAGCCCAGGATACAGTTGGCTTTCTGGGCTGCAAGCACACACTGAAGCTGGCTCATGTTCATTTTCTCATCGACCAACACCCCCAAGTCCTTCTCTGCAGGGCTGCTCTGAATCTCTTCTCTGCCCAACCTGTAGCTGTGCCTGCAATTACTCTGACCCAGTTGTAGGACCTGTGATCCTATACAGGATCACTGTCAAAAATCACTGTGATGCTGCTGGTGTCATTTCTACAGTTTGCTGCTGTGAGAATGTCTTTAAACTTAATTAAAAAACAGGCACATGCAGCCCACCATCTACTGCACAGAAACTCAGAGAAATATTTTAACGGTGATATGGAGGTGGTTTACAGCATTAGTAACTTGCTTGTTCTAAATAATATTCTAAATACATTCCTCTGAAACCATCATTTTCTAGTGATTAGTTGTGACTTTTTAATTCCAAGTGCGCTTACACTTTCTTATGGTTACACACAGGAGTTTCTTCTGCTCTCAGAAAGGCCAGGAGAGGCTGGAATTCTAATGAGGCTGGGGTTTTAATTGTGCTGTCTGTATGTTTTACAGAGCATTAATGCATTCAAGATTGTAAACTTTTTGCTGGGCTTGAAGTGTGATATGCCATTATATAAATTTAACCTAATTTAAACACAAGGCAATGTATTTTCACCATCTTTCATCTATAATAATAATGAATGAACAAAACATAAATTAAAACTTTCTTCATAAAGCTTTTCCTGTTATTTTGACTTCTTTACTCCTGTAATGTTCCAACAGCTAAAATGCAGTCCTGCTTCCGAAATGGAAGACTTATATCTGTCATGTGAGGACTGCTGTTCAATGACTTCCAGTTTCTCATTAGTAAATCAGAATCTTATGTTGCTTGGCCTGAACGGAGGAAAGGAGAAGGCGAGGGAGTAAGCAGCCACATCTTCAAAATGAAATCTCTAACAGCAGTCACTCACATGATTGGTGTTCTTTTATGTGCTGAAAGGATGAAAAACATTAGGGTTCTTAGGATTAGGACAGCCAGCAGCACAGATTTGGAATCTGCATTTTTGCAGGAAACAGTACTAGGCTGCTCAGGCCATCCTTAATGAGGAGCTAGAAAGCAGCAATAAGCAGAGTAGAATTTGTGATCAATTAGTGGTGAACATGATAGCTCACAGTCAAAAGCAGTTTTTAAGAAAAAAGGACTGCCATCATATTTACAGAGGAGTTCATGAAGTTTCTGTATACCCAGAAGTTGTTTTCTCCAAATATGCTCCTGTGTGTATTGGTATGTGCATATATGCACATGTATAAGTTTATGCATATGTACATGTATACACGTAGCGAGCATACACCTTATTATTGCCAGGTTTGCTGTGCAGCTCCTCCAAGAAAAGGGACAGGACTGCATACGGTCTTACGCATATCTCCAATAAGCTCTACGGGTTTGATCAGAGGAGCAGATGTAAAGGTGGCATTTAGTTGGCTTGCTAGGGTCATACACGAGAGAGATTTTGTCTTTGCAAGAATACTTGTCAAGTACCACAGGCTCCCTATTGCTCCATGTTATAAATCATTCTGAATGGTAGGAGGAACTGGGGTAGGGGGTGACGATTGTGACTGGGAAATTCTGGAAACCCAGCATGAAGTCTTGCATTTACCTGACCTTCAGGGAAGCAACACAGCAGCAGCTCTAGGTCGTGGCTTATTTGATCCAGCCATAGAAGATTTCCTAAAATTTCTCTTCTTGAAGCACTGGCTGTCTGGCTTCATTCCAGATATTTTCCCAGTATCAAGCTTATGACATTCACACCTGCAGTCAGGTACACTGAGGCTTGTAGAATGGAAGGCATTATCAAGCATTCACTAGATGGGACTTAGGGAACTTGGCTCTTCCTTCTATCTTGGCTACATGCTTCTTATATCATCTTGGGCACATCACCCTGACTTTCCAGCCAATATCCTAGCATATACCTATGGTCACAGTGAGTTTTAGGGCCTTCCTCTTTCCTGGGTTCAGGAAAGATCTTCCTATTGCATGTCAGACACAAGGAATGAAATGCAGGGGCTGCTGGTCACTTTTAGGCTGATGTTAGGTTTTCACCCAAGCTCCCAGATAGGGAACCACAGCTGTGATCCTGTCCCACACGACCGTGGCTCGTGAATTCACCAGTCCTTGCATTTCCCTCTTCCTTGCTAATGCCTTAGTTGAAAGGTGAAACACCATCTGAGTTCTCCTCCCCCTCATCAATCCTCACAGACAGCTCTAAACCTCTCCTTGCTTTCATCAATGCTCCTTCATCTTTATGAAAAATCTTCCACCCACTGCAGCCATTCTGGACTCTCTTTTGATATCTTATGCATCACTGGAACAGGCGATCTGCCTTCAGAGTCCCCAAAGAGGTATATGCTTATTGATGTTTATTTGTTCCACACTGCCTAGATATACTAGGCATTCAGACACAAAACCCCTCCCACAATCACACATCCTCCCCAGTTCTGCAGAGCTGTAGTCATAAAATTGTAACAACACCTCGTCCTTCACTCTAGGCTGGTGTAAATCAAGACTTTCAACAATCATCTGAGGGATGAGAACTGTTTAATGTCTTTCCACACCAGTGACTATCAAATAATGCTGTTCACAAGAACTGCTGGTAAAATCACAAATAACATTTTGGTTCAGTTACTAACTGAATAGCTGGAGTCCTCCAATGTGTCTCATTCATCTGCTGAGTGGCTTTGAAGGGGCTCAGTGGAAAAGTAGACCAGTAACTTCGTCAACATGTTGACAGTAACTTCAACTGCCTCAGGCAAAGAGGCACTGGTTTAACATAATTCATCCAGAAAATCTACTATTCTGAGAGATAAAGAAGGGCTGTGCTGGCCAGGAGGGAAATGCATATCAGTCAAAAACAAATTACAATACACATCGTATCTGAAGCAAGGCAGGCAGTGAGGGAGTCCCTAATTTAGCATCCTTTCCAACCTTCTTTAATCAAGCTGTAAGAAGTATCTTGCTTTGGGAATAATTTTACAAAACAGGGCTTTTCATGGAGAGAACTGCTGAGAAGTTAGGTAAGGCACAGGACACTTAAACTATTGCATACTTGGCTGTGTAATTCTCTCCACATGCTGACAGAATACAGTTGAGGGGTCTCTGGGTCTAATACACCTGAAAGTTACAGCAGACGGAATAGGCTTGTGTTCAAAGTGCTGCACAAGGTATATTCTGTGGAGTTCCTAAAAGCAATGGGTGCTTAATTTATAATTTCACAATTAGGTTCCTTAGAAAGGGTGTAAGATTCACCATAAACACCCTTAATACAGTTAGCCTCAAAATCCTTACCTTCATAGGCAATCAAGCAACACCTATCCCTGCACTGGTTAGCTAGACCTACTCCCCAGGAGGAAGCATTGGTGTGAGCATTGACGCTCTGGACAGCCTCCCTCTCTCCCCACCACCCCAAGTCCTTCAGTTTAAAGCCCATCTCACCAAATTGGCCAGCCTGCTGCCAAAGATTCTTCTGCCTCTATGATGGATCCAATCCCTCCCTAATAGTCTACACTCATAGAAGCATGTATTGAAATCCTGCCTTTTGCATTTCTCATTCTTCAATAAGGTTCACAATCATAGTATCATAGAACAGTTTAGGTTGGAAGGGGCCTTCAAAGGTCACCTAGTCCAACCACTCTGCAACGAGCAGGGACATTTTCAACTAGATCAGGTTGCCCAGAGCCACATCCAGCCTCACCTTGCATGTTTCCAGAGATGGTGCATCTACCACCTCTCTGGGCAACCCGTGCCTGTTTTACCACCCTCACTGTAAAGATATCCCATCACTCATCACAGTGGCAGCTTCAACATCAGACTTGCCTTAGTCCCTGCAGATCAGTCCGTAGCCAGATACTAAGCCAGTGACTCCTACAGCAGAAACTCAGCATTTGGCAGGACTGGCCTCCAACTCACAAATGGCTATTTAGGCTATGCCTGCAGTAAGGAGCAGACAGCTGTGGACATGGAAAACGCAGCAGTTGTGATATTAGTGCCAGTGGAAATATCTCATACTCCACAAGTACTGCACTCAACAAGAAAGGGTTTACACACTGCTGATTTCATATGTGCTTCTCAACTACTTAAAAAACAGATTTCTGTCTGCAGGAAGCTGGATACGCATTTTTTTCTGTACAAGAAATTTGCTGTTTATTTGCCTTCTGAAGTACATTTATCTGCTTTCTGATGAGAGAGGCATCTTTTAAAAAATCTGACACAACTCCCTCCTGAATTATTTTTTCCCACTAACTGCCATCTCATCAGTCTTGCTTCCAGTAGATCTCTTCTACATGTCCCTCTCATAATCAGGCATTTCAGCAGCACTGAGGGGTACAAAACAAGAGGTAATGAAGGATTAAGGGCTAAAATCATCCCATTGCAAAGTCTGGCTCACAAACCATTAAACACTTCAGCTGTTGCCAGTTTTTAAGAGGTGCCTTGGAAGTAGGAGTTTAACCTACTCTATTTTTAATGTAACGATATACCTCTTTTCAACACAGGAATATGGTAACAACCAAGAATCTGGTTCTGACTGATCCTGGCAGACCACTTGTAGATACGGAAATCTAGACTCAAATTCTGTGTTGTTTTTTATGCAGAATTAGTTATGAGATTTGAAGAAACAAGCAGTCCTGATCTGCAAAAGAGCTTACATCAGTGTCAGATGTTCTTGTAGTGATCATTCTGACTCAAAACAGTGAGGTCTGAATCCACCTGAAAAAAAAAAGCTCTACAATTTTGAGTGCAGTAGCTTTCCAATCATTGCAGTATTACAAATTCATGGACTTTAAAACAAAACAAAAGACACAATAGATAAAAAAGAAAAAACAAGCAAATAAATAAAAAAAAAAAAAAGAAGAGAGAGGAAGAAGAAGAGAGAAGAGAGAAAGACAAACCCCACTTGTTATAACTTTTCCCCTTTTCATGTAAACCATCAATGAATTCAATTCTGGACATCCGTATGTTTCTGGTTTGGAAAATGAGTTAAGATACCAGTTGTTTTAAACCTTAAAAAGAGAAAACCTTGTCTTTAAGTACCTGAAGACTTTAAGCATACCTGAAGAAGGCTTTCTGTATATGACCAAAAGCTTGATGGTTTGCCAAAGGTGGTAATTACCCTAACAAGGTATTAGGCTAAAGGCATCACCTCTTCTTGTCCTATTAGAGTTAAAGGACACATGGATCTGTTCTTCTAATGATATTATCTTGAAAATTTATCTTGATTTAAATTTAGAACCAACAGGAAAAAGGGAACTCCTCAGCTTCAGAAGTAAATGAAGAGCAATGCACAAGAACTGTCAAGGTAAACTGTCTGCACAGCTGCAGCCAGCCAGCCTTTAGTCTGGAGTGCATACTGCATTAAGAGTTGAAGTAGCTTCATACTGCAGAAATATGTGTTCTTTGTTTATTTCTGGAAGACAATCAAGGTGCAGAAAAATTAAAATATTGTCTTAGTTGAAGGACTGATGCCATTTTCACACCTTTCCCTGTAGTATAAAATACTCCAATATTCAAATATGCAAAGTTTTGGAGGTCTCACAAAAAAAAGGAAGTCTGTGCCACAGTGCAATCTCATGAAGTAACTTCAGTATGGCAGCAGTTTTAAAGCAATTTCCCTCTAGGAAGTAAGTGAAAAATGAATCATCACAAAGCAACAGTGACTCTGTTCATCCTTCTGCCATCTGTGCATTGCCAGGATCTTCATGCAGCTGCATGTGCTTTCATGCTTGCATGTGCTTACTCTACAGAAGCAATCTGAAAGACCTGCAGATACACTGGAAAGGTGATACAGAAGACATGATTAGAAAGAACTTCAGACCTTCGTGTTCCACAGGATCATAATAGAATCACAGAATGGTCTAGGTTGGAAGCTACCTTTAAAGCTCATCTAGTTTCAACTAGAACCCCTCTCCAGCTTTCTTGTTGGCCCCTTTATGCACTGGGACCTGCACTAAGATCTCTCTGGAGCCTTCTCTTCCCAAGGCTGAACCAGCCCAGCTCTCTCAGCCTGTCTCCAGAGCAGAGCTGCTCCAGCCCTCACAGCATCACTGTGGCCTCCTCTGGACTTGCTCCAACAGCTCCAAGTCCCTCTTGTGTTGCTGCCCCAAAGCTGGACACAGGACTGCACGTGGGGGTCTCCCCAGAGAGCAGCAGAGGGGGAGAATCCCCTCCCTTGACCTGTTGCTCAAGCCTTGGGGATGCAGCCCAGCACACAGGGGGGTTCTGGGCTCAAGCACACACTGTCATGGGGAGCTTCTGTCACCCAACATCCATCCAACACATAACAAGGCAGGAGCTGTTGTAGTTGTTTCCTGGTTTGGGGCTGACTCTGTGGACTTTAAGAAAACACGTCGAGGAAGGATTTGAGCAGCTGGGATATAACTGCTGGGACAATGAACCATGTCAGCACTGAGAAACAAGTCCCCAAGGTGCTGGCCTCTGCGGGGTCATGATCACCTTGTCCCACCACAGCTGAAAGCCTCCATCAGTGACATTAAGGAGAGAGGGGAAAGGGTGGCACAGCGGAGTAATGCTGACAAAGGCAGGATATGAAGAAACCTTTTCCACTCACAGCGTTGCGCAGGAGAAAGTGCCGTGTGGTACGGGAAGAATACTCAATCTGAAGGGGGCCTATAGGGATGCTGGGGATGGACTCTTCATTAGGGACTGTAGTGACAGGACAAGGGGTAATGGGTTCAAACTTAAATGGGAAGTTTAGATTGGATATAAGGAGGAAATTTTTTCCTGTTAGAGTGGTGAGGCACTGGAATAGGTTGCCCAGGGAGGTTGTGAATGCTCCATCCCTGGCAGTACTCAAGGCCAGGTTGGACGAGGCCTTGGGTGATATGGTTTAGAGCCCATGGCAGGGGGGTTGGAACTTGATGATCTTCAGGTCCTTTCCAACCCTAACTATTCTATGATTCTATTTCGATCTCGCAGGATTACTGCTGTATCGATGACAGCAAGCACATCCCCCCAGCTATCAGATCTTGCCAAGCAGCAGTTTTGGTTTTTTTTTTGTTTGGTGATGCATGTATAGATCTTGCCGCTTTTTGCTCTTCCCGAAAGCCAAACCCCGCAGGCCCAGCTCGGTAAGCGCAACTTTCACCCCAGCAGAGCCATTCGCTCGCCCAGCGGCATTTCCACTGCTTTGAGAGAAACCCTTAGCCGCGTTCCCAGCACCTCCTCATGCCATTGGATTCGCTTGAACGGCGCTTACCTGACACCAACCTCATAAACCGCAATTCCAGTGGCAAATTCAGGCGTTTATCGACAGCTCCGACTTTCTGCTCGCACCGGAGCCCGCCCCGGCGCAATCCCTACAGAGGCCCGCACGCCCAGCAGATGCGGCCTTTGCCCGCTCCAGCGGTCGGTCGGTGTCATCGGAGCACGGCGGTGCTCAGCGCGGCGCAGGTGGGGAGGGCGGTGAGGCCCCAGCGCCCAAGGGCCCGCAGCATGACCCCCGGCAGCGCAACGCGAGGATGACTCCGGGCTCTGCGCACAGGGTCTGGGTCTGCCTGGGGCGGGCTGAGGCCCCCCCGGGACTCAGCCGATCGCGGCGTGAGCCCCGGCTCACCCTGTCTCTGTACCGCTGCTTCCGTGCAGCGCTGTGCAGGGGGCGAGCGGCCTGGGGGAGGCTGAGCGCTCAGCACTCCCGCCCGCTGGGCCCGGGCAAAGGAAGCAGGCGGGGCAGGACTGCCTCCTGGGCTGCGAGCCGGACGGCTGAGGTCGCGTCTCCCCCAGGATGGCTCGGCGCCCGCTCCCACTGCCGGTCCAGGCGCTGTCGATGTCTCCCCGCGGGCTGTAACCGGTCCCGCAGCGAGGAGCGATGCAGGTAGCTGCCCGCCCAGCGCCCCGTGGGGCTCAGTCCGAAGCCCGCTGCCTGTCCCCCGCCAGCCAGCGGGACCGCGGTGGCGCTCCGCGCAGCGGGAAGAACTGCGGCGAGCGGCCACCCCTCCAAAAGCCCGGTGAGGCGGGCTGGCACCGCCGATGCGCGGCTTCTTCCACCGCCCCCTTCCTGCCTGCCTTCTCCTCCTCCCCTCCGCCGCCCCCCGCCTCCTCCACCACCTCCTCCGCCGCTGCTGAGGTCGCTGCAGCCACCTCCCCCTCGGCCGCCTCCCTCCTCCTGCCGCCCCCCCAGCCCCGCACTAGCTTCGGCTTCCCCGGGCTCGCCATGAGCGGCGGCTCTGGTCGCTTACAGCCGCCCCCCGCGCTCTGCCCGCCGTCGCTCCCGCACGGGCCGAACCCGCCAGAGCCAGGAGCGCGCAGCCAGGGCCGGGGCAGCTCCGCCGGACACGGCACACCCCGCGCCGCCCCGGGCGCCAGGGGCCCACCACCAGGTGAGCGCGAAGGGCCCCGGAGGATGGTTCAGTCCCGGGTGTCCGCTGCCGCCGGGCTGAGGGGCCTTCGAGTTGTCCGCGGCAGCGCCCGGAACCGCGGCCGTGCCGCAGGGTGACCCATACCCGGGTGGGGTCCGGTAGCTGCGGGACCGAGCTGGGCAGGTCGCAGGGCAGCAGCCCACAGGCCGCGTGTCGCCCGTCAGCAGCGGGGAGCCGAGGCCTCCGGTCGGCCGGGCTCGGCGTTGTGAAGCGCGGGGCTGCGGGTGTCGCCTCAGGTCCCCTCCCCGCCTCCAGCGCTGCCCCGCCGCTGGTGCCGCCGCGCCTCGGGCCTGGCCCGTGGTACGCCCATGGCAGCGCCGGGGCCTGTCCAGCCTCGCCCGTCCTGCTCTTCTTCGTGCAGCGGCCGCCGGCCTGCAGCCAGCCCGCGGGGCTGAACTCCCGAAAGGGGGTTTTGGGGTCCCTGTCCCTGAACCAGGCGCTGCCCCTCGCTGCGGTACCTGCGGAAATAGCGTGCACAGCGGCATGTCACCTCCGGTTCCTGCGCGGAGCTCCGACGTGCCTTGGAAGTTGGGGTGCCTCTGTGGGAACCCCGGTGGATGCCTTTGGGGCCCGCGTGTTCCTGAGTTCCCTATCAGGTGTAACCCGCAGCTGGGTCTCCCTGAGCCGGAGACTCTGAACCAGAGTCTTTCTGTTTTTCCTGTCCTGGAGCTTCGATGTTTTAAGGACTGGGGTTGCAGTGCCTGGGCTTACGTGCTCGTTGTCAGACGCCAGAACTCGTTCGGGACTGCTGGGGAGGTTCCCACATGCTAAAATTTAAACGAGAGCCTTAGGTGTTTCGGGACTGGGGCCTAAACATTTTGTGAACTGCAGCCAGGAAACGGTTCTTGTGTGTGTATGAAGTCAGGAATTAGGAATTGCTGTGGGAGAATGACAGAAAACCAGACATTCTCTGGTCCTAGAGGGTGGATAAATAAGGTATCTGATTATTCTCCCCTTAGAACATATTTTTGGCCGTGCTCATGACATGGGGACTGGCTGGGATGATTTACAGGTGTTTGTAGTATTCGTGTTTATACTGATGGAAATTTTGCTCTGAAATGAAGTAGGTTTAATAGACAAGTCCCTTTGAAATCTGTGGTTGGCAGCATATTAAATCTTTGATTGCCATGTAGGAAGTTGAGGAAAAACTTGAATTTTTACCTTTGAATTGCATTACATGGCTCAAAAATAGCTTTTGCTGTTTGCTGTGACCACGCAGCATAAGGGGAATATCAGTCTCACCCATCCTGCTGTCTGGGCCTTCTAAGTAAAATATAGAGGAGAAAGATATGCTTCCAATATATGTCATCTAGACGTGGAGGTTTTACCTGATAAAACTATATTTCAATTTTTTTTTTTTTTTGCTTTTTCCCTTTTAATTGCTTGGCGTGTAGGTGATAACATTATCCTAAAGCATGGCCTCAAAACTTCTAACCTTCCCAGGCTCTTAATAATCTTATAGACAAATTGACCTGGTATGCTACTGCTGGGAGATTAAAGCTTGTGTATCTCCCATGATCTGGAAAATCCTGGTGAGAAAAGGAACTTTTCATATACGCTTATCATACAGTGAATTCACCACAGGCCTAGGTGGTATGCAAGGACCTTACTGCAAGGACCTTACTTAGGAAATTATGACCTTTTTACTCTGCAAAAAGGGAAGAGGTTTGTCCTTAAGTTTTGGTGTTCCCTAGAACAGATCCCATGCTTAAAAGTTCTGTGCTCTTAACATTGTTAACTGGTGTAGTCAGAACCAGTTTGCTCAAAACATCCCTCGCAGGTGCCTGAGTTAATGATGGAGTTGTATGATATACTTAAGCCACAGTAGCAGATTTGTAGTACATTAGCAGTAGTTTGTTGTCAGCCATGATCTCAAAAATATAGAAAGTATCTTCAGGAAGTATGATCTCTGGTCCTTTTGAGATAATGTCATAATTTACAGACAAATGCAGAAGATTTCTAAATTGCAGACGAGAAGTGTATTTGTTTTTCTCCAAAGATAGTTATTCTGATTTTGTGAAAGTCTACCTGTTTCATTCAAATATTTGCCACCAGAGTAAGAAATATTGCATTGGACACTGGTGTCAGGGCTGAACTTGGGTTCTTTTGCTGAGCATCCTCTTGGTTGTGCTCTTGAAAGTGATACTCTCCTATTGCTAGTCCTAATATATTATTTTTTGATACAAATCTGTACTGTGGTCTGGTCTTGAAACATTAAGGGTTAGTGAAATTACTGTAATTTATATGCAAAGATGGGAGAAGGTTTACTATTCCCCCGCCCCAGCAGAAAAATATTTAGTGATGGCTGGTTTGTCTTTTTGGTAAGGTCTGTATTAACATTCTCAGGTTCTGCAGCATTTGGAAAGGAAAAATGTCTTTTGAAAGCTGTGTGTACTTAACATTACTGGTGTGGTGCATATAGCTGATGGGTGCAACTTTTATGCGTATGAGCTTTCTGGATGTCATCCAGTTAACTTTGTTAAATTTAGTCAATTTTGCTTGCCCTCCTTAGGTGGCAGAATCTTTAGTTGGAGTGACTTAAAGATTATTGTGTAAGATGCACATGAGGCCAAGTCCCATCAGAAACCATTGTGGGGAAGAGTAATGGGAGGTGCTTTGTGAGTCAGGTGACTGTAGGCATCTCAGAAGTTGTTCAGTTTGGAGAGGCTGCTGATGAAAGGGTCAGTGCCAGTTTTCAAACATGCACAACTGCAGGCTGTGGGGGGATGGACTTTCTTGTGAAGACAGTACAAGTGTGTTAAGTGCGGTAAAAACCTGTTTGAATTCATAGCAATGCTGCCTAATGCTGTACACACTAAGCAGCTGAAATACAAGTAGGAAAAATCCCTGTATGATCATATGAGCACGTGTAAGCTTTTGTGCCTTTAGGAGCTGTGTGTACTTATACCACCTATGCATGGTATGTCTGGTTTGTTCTCAA